TAAATGTAGAGAAAAAGCAGTGTCATGGATGGTGGGTGGTTTGTTTTCTTAGTTCTTTATTGAAAACATATGGAGATGTTTATATATAAATAGAAAACAATAGAACGCTGCCGTCATGTAAGCAGCAACTAAAAATGTTCTACACGAATAGAAATCAAACATTTCTATACCTATGCCAGAATTCTGGTTTACTGATATCTACACATCCTGTCTTATTTGGCTTGAAAAGATGTTTTATTATTTTACTCTTTTTATTTCTAGTTGGAAGCAAATTGTGGAGCAGGAGATTTTTGTTTCTGTTTTCATTTCTTTCTTGGCTTAAACAAATTACTTTGTTAGCAGGAATAACTTCTGTCCAAGTATACCTTGTGTTACAATCATGAAAAAAAAGTTTTTAATCTATGCATTTAACTAAGTCTTTGTACTTCTGAATTAAAAATGAGGACTTGTAGCCTGACAGAAGTGTCTTTCAGGAGACCCAGCAGTAGAGAGGTTGTGAGCACTGCTGAGGAGGTGAAAGGAATTCCTCTGGGTTGGAATTCTGGCTGCACCACTTGACTAGCAAGGTAACCGTGGGAAAGTTAGTCAACCTGACTAAACCTGTTCCTTCATCTGTGAGATGAGAAATATGAGAGCACTGATGGAATGATTGTGCACACTCATGGGATGAGCTGTAAGACGTTACACATAGTGTCTGGCTCATAGGAAACATCGAGAAATGCTGTCTACCATCGTTGTAATCAGCTAACAAAAGGGCTTATATTGGGACCATCCTTGAAAATCTGAGAAGTGTTGATGCTCAGTGCCAAGAACAGTAACAACAGTAATGCTACTGTTTACCAAGTGCTAGTTATGCCCTAACCTTTACAATGTACTGTTTTGACAATTCCATGAGCTAGGTACCATTATCATCCCCATTACAGCTAAAAATGGGTTGATGTGAGGGTCAAACCTAGTCTGGATCATTCAGAAGCTTACACTCTTGATCTCTCCGCTAAAATGGCTGCCACATATATAGCCGAAGGCACCTTTGAAACCTTCTTTATTTACACTATTCTCTACGTTCCTGTCAACATTCTGTGACACTGCACAATGGCATTCACAAACTGTGAAGCCCCCTGTCCCTAGGACATCTGTACATTTGTAGTTAAAGAGGACCAGGAAGCACTTAATGAACACATTATTAGAAGCCCTAGTTTTCCATTCATGCATCCACTTTCTCTTTGCTTTAAAGGCCTTTCTTTAAAGGTGCTTGAAGCTTCATATGGACAGGCTCATTATTCAAGCTTTTGTCCCAACCTACAGATGCAGAAGCCAAGGACCAAGGTAACATGACTTGGGGACAGAGGGAGAGGCCATTCACCCGCCTTGGAAGCCCAGTGTATCAGTTGCTGAGTCAGGAATACAATAGACTGAGCCCAGGGTGGTGTCCAACTCACCAGGCTGCTCATTAATGTTGGGTCTAATAGCCAAACTGCTAACTAGCTCCACTGTTTACAAACTTTTATTTTAAGTTCAGGGGTACATGTGCAGGTTTGTTACACAGGGAAACTTGCGTCATGAGAGTTTGTTGTACAGATTATTTTCTCTCCCAGGTATTAAGCCTAGTACCCATTAGTTATTTTTCCTGATCCTCTCCCTCCTTCCACTGTCCACCCTCTGGTAGGTCCAAGTGTGTGTTGTTTCCCTCTGTCTGTCCATGTGTTCTCACCATTTAACTCCCACTTATAAGTGAGAACATGCAGTGTTTGGTTTTCCATTTCTGTGTTAGTTTGCTAAGGATAATGGCCTCCATCTCCATCCACGTCCCCGCAAAGGAGATGATCTCATTATTTTTGTGGTTGCATAGTATTCCATGGTGTGTATATACCACATTTCCTTTACCCAGTCTATCATTGATGGGCATTTAGGTTGATTCCATGTCTTTGCTATTGTGAATAGTGCTTCAGTGAACATACACATGCATGTGTCTTTATAATACAGAATGATTTCTATTCCCCCTTTACTGGTATATACACAGTAATGGGGTTGCTGGGTTGTATGGTAATTCTGTCTCTAGGTCTTTGAGGAGTTGCCACACTACTTTCCACAATGGTTGAACTAATCTACGCTCCCATCAACATTGTATAAGTGTTCCCTCTTCTCCTCAGCCTCACCAGCGTGTATTTTTTTAGTTTTTAATAATAGCCATTCCGACTGGTGTGAGATGGTATCTCATTGTGGTTTTGATTTGCATTTCTCTAATGGTCAGTGATATTGAGCTTTTTTTCATATGCTTATTGGCCACATGTATGTCTTCTACTGAGAAGCCTCTGTTCATGTCACTTTTTAATGGGGTTGTTTTTCTCTTGTAAATTGTTAAGTTCCTTACAGATGCTGGATATTAGACCTTTGTCAGATGCATAGTTTGCAAAACTTTTCTCCCGTTCTGTAGGTTGTCTGTTTACTCTGTTGATAGTTTTTTTTGCAGTACAGAAACTCTTAATTAGGTTCCATCTGTCAATTTTTGCTTTTGTTGCAATTGCTTTTGGCATCTTTGTCATGAAATCTTTGCTAGTTCCTATGTCCAGAATGGTATGCCTAGGTTGTCTTCTGGGTTTCTATAGTTTTGGGCTTTACATTTAAGTCTTTAATCAATCTTTAGTTGATTTTTGTATATGGTGTAGAGAAGGGGTCCAGTTTCAACTTCTGCGTATGGCTAGTCAGTTATCCCAGCATTCTTTATTAAATGGAGAACCATTTCTCCATTGCTTTTATTGTCAGCTTTGTCAAAGATCAAATACTTGTAGGTGTTCAGCCTTATTTCTGGGCTCCCTACTCTGTTCCATTGGTCTTCGTGTCTATTTTTTGTACCAGTACCATGCTGTTTTGGTTACCATAATCCTGTAGTATAATTTGAAGTTGCCTCCAGCTTTGTTCTTTTTGCTTATGATTGCCTTGGCTATTTGGGCTATTTTGGGATTCCATATGAATTTAAAATAGTTTTTTCTAGTTCCGTGAAGAATGTCATAGGTAGTTTGATAGAAACAGCATTGAATCTGTAAATTGTTTTGGGCAGTATGGCCATTTTAAGGATATTGATTCTTCCTATCATGTAGCTCCAATTTTAACATACATAGTACATGATTAGAAGCACTTTGCCTGATTTTCTTGTTGGAAGAATGGGATCTGCCTGCAATAGGGAAACTCTCACAAACAAGATTGCTCAATTCTGTTTTCATTTGCAAGATATATTATGAACTTTCTTTTCTCCTTTTTGCAGGAGAGGGAAACAGTTTAGGGTTGTGGGTATGGCAGGGCATAGAAGGGAAGAGGCTTAGGACTGCCAAATTACATGTCAACCTGCTGACTTAGCATCAATATACTAGTTAAACGAGCCCTGAATGTAAGACATTAATGCAAATATTTTGCATATCATTAACTCTAATGATGCTACCATAATGCAGTAACCTCAGCTGAAAGCTGAGGTGGCACTTTTTATCATAAATGCTTTGGGTCTTTCACTAAAAATCACCATGAAGACAAGTCCCTTAGACTTGTTCATATACAGAAATATGAACAGACTTCTGCATCATTAACCTTCTCATCATTAACAATAACAAAAAGTGTTGGTGTCTCAGGGCTGTAAATGCCAGCAACATCTTTCTCTAGAACCTGTCACTGCTCTTGCCCTTGTAACTACAATACACTTCAAGAGCAAAAGGTTAGGCAATCATTGTAAAATGGAATCTGTTTTAGAGAAAAAATGCTACGCAATCCCCAAATTGTTATGTAAGTGGAAAATCATTCTAAATGCAGAATAAGTATTGCTTACCCTTCAGTGCCATGCTAGGTAGTGTGGAGTCTTGGAAAGGAGGGAGTTTCAGAGCCAGCGCTACCATTTGCCAGCTGTATAACATTGAGCAAATCACTTGACCTCTCTGATTGTCAGATCCTTTCCTATAAAACAGCAACATTAATAATACTGCTTTGTCTATTTTATGAGTGGCCAAAGAACACCAAAGGAGACTGCAAATGTGAAAGCTCTCTGGACGCAATGTACAAATGTTGTTATTGATTTTTTACTAGGTGAGTAATGAGGAATGAGTAGCAGTGTTTGTCCAAGGATAGCTTGGGAATAAGTCAACCAAGGTGGCAGTTGGTAAGTCTTAAAGATGTGGATGGCTCCTGGGAAATAGATGAGCTGGCCAGTTTGAAGGATCTTAAAGTTCCAAGTTTTAGGGCTGGGTAGCAATTTAACTGTGCAACCTGTCAAGAGCCTATTATATTCTAAGTTCATGCTGTGACAATATTGGCTACATGAAATAACTATGTGCTTTCTTACCAGACTTTATTTGGAAAGAGTTTATGAACTAGTGGCCTGGCAGAGTTGCCTGGAATTAGAGTACTGCGGTTTTACACCAGGGATAGCAGTGTTTCATGCCTTGTTCTATTGCCTCCCTCCCTGGGGATTTAACATATGGAACAACAACAAAATCAGAACCCCAAGACAAACCTGTCAGCTTGATGTCTTTAAGCTTTGGCAGAACTCACAATTAAGATAAGATAGAATATCTATTTAGAGGGAAGAGGTGCAAAGAAATAAGTTCACAGAGCATACCTTCTTTTTTCTGAGCATGGCTAATACTATCTGGAGATCCCTGCCACATAGGAGGAATTGTATACCAGAACACAGTGAATACTTAAGAAAATTAGTTGAAAGAATATTATTGCTAGTAGAAATAACTGAACATCTTTGATATGGGGCTTTATATTTCCCTTCATTATATTTTTTTAATCCTTTCCAGCCAACTCTTGAGTTTGGCAAATCCTAGGCTGAGTAATTGTGCATCTCAGAATGGTTAGATAATATGCAGACCAGACCCTAAGTCAGGCACAGCAACATGTGCTTTGGCACAGCCGTGAGGAGGTAAAGTATTTGGTAATTGTTGTTTGATAGTTCCCAAGGAGAAAACACAGAAGCAACAGATAAAAATCAAACAACTTTCTCTTGTGTTTAGGTAAATATATCCAACTACAGCCTAGTGATGGAGTCTGACACGGGAACCTTCTTACCCACTGGGCTGCAATTCACTGGCAGTGAAAAGGCCAGGGCCATCATGGAGGAGGTTATGAGCCTGCTGCAGCCCCTCAATATCACTCAGGTCCTGAGCCATGGAGAAGGGACAGACATCAACTTTTGGATCCAAGCTGGAGTGCCTGGTAAGACCAAAAGATGAAGTTATGTTCCTTATATGTTACCAACAATTTAAAATAAAATTTCTACTTTAATAGAGCACAGGGAATACTGGTAGGCCAGGTTGTGCATGGAAACCTTAAGCTTTTGTTCAAGGTATAATCTGATGATTTCCAAAACTGGGATAATAGTCCTCACCTTGTATTTGTTTACCCATCTGTATCCCCCTACTCTTTCTAAATTATAAGCTTCTCACTCCCAGAGATTCTGATTTAGTCATTCTGGAATTGGGCCTAAAAATCCATTGTTTTGTTTTGTTTTTTAAGGAGGTATCTTTGGTGATTATAGCACAAATGATCTCATAACCAAAATTTGAGAAATAGAGTAGAAGGCAAATATTACTACTAATATCCTTCTAGTTCTAGTCCTGTACTAGAAAAAGTTCCCTGATCCAAATAATTCCCTATTAAAACACTGTGGTATCTGAAATTTTACCATTAGAGATGGATTTCTTGAGGGTGGGGTACTTCCTTTTAATCATATTTTATCTTAATGCAAAGACTCCTGTGCAAGAGGTTGAGCACAAGCTAATTTACCCTGGTCAGTGATTTATCATGTGAATATCCCGAAGAGAAGTCGTAAGACCCTGGGGTCAGGGATAAAATTACGAAATGGGAGTGGACATGAGGAGGTTACTTACAGGAATACAAGCTGGAACTGGTTTTTGTTTTTTGGTTTTTGTTTTTTGTGTTTTTTTTGAGACAGGGTCTCACTCTGTCGCCTGGCCTGGGGTCCAGTGACACGATCACAGCTCGCTGTGACCTCCACCGCCCGGCCTCAAGCAATCTTCCTGTCTCAGCCTCCCAAGTAGCTGGGACTATGAGTGTGCACCACTATGCCTGGCTAACTTTTGTATTTTTTATAGAGACAGAGTTTCGCCATGTTGCCCAGCCTGGTCTCCCAACTCCTGGGTTCAAGTGATCTGCCTGCCTTGGCCTCCCAAAGTGCTGGGATTACAGGCATAAGCCACCATGCCTGGCCTCTAGAACAGTCTTAAAGAGACAAATTTATACTACTTCACTAAGTTACCTAAGCCTGGCCATTGAAAAAGGTTATTGATTTTAAGTGTTTGTGACTCAAGGTTTCTCCCTCAACACCATTACATCCATAATCCAAAAAAGTTAAACGATCCATCTGCAAATTGTTCTGTATTTGTACTATACAAATAGGAAGCCCAACCTTTGAACAGTTTTAACATTGCTGTATTCAGAACTATTTCTGTGGCTACAAACATTTCAGAGGTACTAAAACAGTGTCTCTGGACCTACTCCACTCCAGATTTTTTTTTTCCACGCTGCAAAGTAGATTTTACCAATAGTTACATACTACATAGATTTAAGATTTTTAAAAAGCTTACTCTTGCAATACTGCAGATTTTTAAGGCATATTTTAAGTTTTAAGGTTTATAATAATCTTTCATAACTAAAAATAAAAGGAGCTTTTCTTATTCTAACACAAAGACCAAAATTCTTTCCCTTTGTTCTTTGTTCTGTGTATATGTTAACGTATTTTGAAATTTCTTAAAGCAACATTTCCATTTACAATGCTGTACTTCTCCGGACAGATCCAATACTATCTACATATGTGTCATTGATAGACATGATCTAAGTGTAGGGGAGAGAGTCTGCCCTTTAAGTTATATAGAATCATTTGTAAAATTCTAGATATTTCCTGATTCTGAAATATTTCAACAGGAACTTCTGAAAAACTCAGAAACCCTGAATAAGCTGCTGTGTGGTAGCTGTGAAGAAAAGACTGGTAGACTGTGGGAGAATGAGAGTGCAGACTGGGGGTGCCCAAAGGTGAGGTGAGGAGCTGAAACCTAAGACAGAATTGGGAACAAAAACTTGTCCCTCCCCATCCCAGGGATTTCTTATTTTGTTGTATTTGATCACTGAGACTTGGCTCTAGCTTAATTCCTTCACATGTACCTGTTACATAAGAATGGTTCTGTTTGGAGTGATCAGATTAATTTGATTCTTTTCACCTAAAATAAGAAAGCGTTTTCTGTCTCTGCCATGGTAAGGTGAGGTCAGATTTGATTTCTACCTAACAGAATGGAGTGGGGAGACTGAGCCCATTATAGTTGCATAAGAATTAATAAGAGGCCAGGTGCGGTGGCTCATGCCTGTAATCTCAGCACTTTGGGAGGCTGAGGTGGGTAAATCACTTGAGGTCAGGGGTTCGAGACCAGCCTGACCAACATGGTGAAACCCCGTCTCTACTAAAAAAATACAAAATTAGCCGGGTGTGGTGGTGCAAGCCTGTAATCCCAGCTAACTGGGAGGCGGAGGCAGGAGAATCACTTGAACCCAGGAGGCGGAGGTTGCAGTGAGCCGAGATCATGCCACTGCACTCCAGCCTGGGCAACAAGAGTGAAACTCCATCTCAAAACAAACAAACAAAAAAGAATTAATAAGAGTTAAAATGTATTGAACTACTAATATGTAGGAAGTACTCAGGCTTTTTGCAGATACTGTTTTATCCATACAACCATCCTATGAAGGAGATACAATTATCATTATCCCTATTTTGCAGATGAAGAAAGACTCATAAGGGTTAAGTGACTCGCCCAAGACTATACCGCCCTTAGGGCAGGAGTCACCCTGAGAACAGGCCATTTTGGCTTCAAGGCTGGTGGCCCTTTTCTCACAATATGCAACAACACTGAGGAGTCTGGAATGCTGAGAAGTCTCCAAATCTCTGGTAGTGTCTAAAATGTTTATCTTACTCAGCTCTTGCTTATGCAAAGGATTTCAGTCCATTCCTGCTCCACAGTGATTTACCACTGAGAGAAAGGAGTTTGTTATTGTAAATAACTACTTATATCTTCTCACATTCTTTGTTCTACTCCCTTCTTTACCTCTGAAAGATCAGAAAGGTTTGCATAAAGTCAGTAGCTCATTTAGATGATTATAAATGTTTCCTGGAATTCTGTTTTATTTCCTTTAGAGCATTATAAGAGAGAACCAAATTACTGCTGTCTTCCTTTTATTACTTTTGAGTTATCCTTTGATATTTCAAATTTGGGCTATTCCTGGAAGAAACAATGGTACTACTTATAACTCCTGTTACCTATTGAAAATTTTAGGAACTTCACTGTGCACAGTGGCTTACCCCTGTAATCCTAGCACTTTGAGAGGCTGCAAGGTGGGAGAATTGCTTGAGGCCAGGAGTTTAAGACCAGCCTGGGCAACACAGCAAGACCCCTATCTGTGAAAAAAAAAAAAAAAAAAAACAACTCTGATTCTAAAAAAAAAAAAAGAAAGAAAAGGATGAAGAACCATACTTGGGTTCTTCATCTTTTTTCTAAAAGATGAAGATAAATTCGTCTGAAAAAGAAAAAAGAAAGTAAAAATATATCAGTTGTGTACCCTATATTTGTGAAGGCCTGATAAATTATAACTTAAAGCTCAGGGTAGGATTCTAAATACTAATTAAGTTATCATTTAAATAACTGCTCACCTAACTTCTAAAAAATTAATGATAAATAATATTTCTAAACTCCATCCTTTTTTCTTTCTTTTTTTCTTTCATTGATTCAATAAACATTTATTGAGTCCCTACCATGTTCTAGGCCTATTAAATTTCTATAATTTGAGGTGACTGTATGATGACTAGGCCCCAATGTCCCATGTATACTATTTACCAAAATACTGATAGAATTAAATATCTATCACACAGATAGAATTAAAATTCAACATTGTTTTCATTAATTATAGAAGACAAAAGGATCAATTTATAATATGGTCATCTTTGGGAGAGAAAAGATGGTATCTTTTACCCATCTAGATGATATCTATAATGGACGGAATAACTGTCAACATAAATATAAGGCTTTGGGGGGGAAAAAGATTTTCTTTAAAAAGCATCTTGGATGTACTTTCTGCATAAACCTTTGTTCTAGATCTTCAGATTCCAGCCTTCTCCCATGTCCGCCTCCTTCCATATTCCTATTCTTTCCCTCCAAATCCTCAGTCCTCTTTAAGGCTCATTCTGTATTCATTAGTGTTCGTGAGTCCCTCCTGAGTCTGTAGTGCTCTATTGCTTTCCCAAATTTCTAATGCGCTTCAAGACTCCGTCCCACAACCTGGAGTGTGAATTACAAAGTGTGATATTATTCTTGGAACATTAGGGGTTTATGTGCATCCTGCTGCTTATACGCAGTGATCAGTCCTTTGAGGTTAAGGTCAATAATTTCTAATTCTTTGCCTATTCCATAGCTGTTGGTTTAATTTTGGGAAACATTTAAATTCTTATAAATCTGACTTAGCAGAAACAAAAACATTGAAATAATTATTGTCTAGACAAGCTTTTAGATACTTCAGTTTAAGAATGTGAAGAAAATAAAGAATACTAAGAAAAAAGCCAAAAAAGTATAAAAAAATATTGGGAGAATGATATAAATTGGGAAGCCTAGAGCAATAAGGATTATTTCTCTTAAAGGAGCAAAGACTAAGAGAAGATATATCTTTCAAACGTTAGTGATTCACACACATAAAATGGTGAACTGCTATTCCCTGACAATTTGAAAGACAATACAAGAAATGACTTAAAGTGACCTAAGAGGGATTTTAGCTAGTCTCTATTCACTCCAGATAATAGAGAGGCTTTAAATCTTAAGTTTTTGCCTGATTCTCCAATTCTGAGCTCCAGGTTAGAATGAAAGGAGTCTATTTCATTCTGAGTATGTCACCAATGAGGTATAATCCATGGTTCTTAGATGTCCCTAAGTGCATCCTTCTTGAATATATTTCTTCTTTAGAAACGCATTCACAAAATATACATTAATGAAAAAAATTAAATACCCTCTTACTGTGACCTGAGATAATGAGCCCACTCTTACTCTATATCTTCCAAGAAGAGTTTACTCCTCTGCTTCAGAACCTGAAATTCAGCTTTTTGTTGTTGTTGTTTTTAGTGTGGTGGCTTGTGGTAGATGGTATATTGGAAGGAGTTAGAGGAC